GGGAGGCCAGGTCCAGGAAGAGCTTCTCCACGTTGTCCGACTCCTTGGCGGAGGTCTCCAGGTACAGCATGCGCTGCGCCTCAGCAAAGTCCTCGGCACGCTGCCGAGCCACCTCACGCTTCTCCGACAGGTCGATCTTGTTACCTGGCCGACATGAAAATAATCTGTCAATTGATAGTATTTTTTTCCCCACGCACATTATAAGATCAAACTAAGATAATGATATTAAAAAAATAATAATAATCGGCTCATTTTTCTCTCAGTTTGAAATTCAAACACATACTAAAGGAGAAAGTTGTGTAAAATGATCAAATGTTCTCTCATTCATGTTTTTATTGTGTTTATCGTGTTTGGGGATCTAAAAAGATGTTATTGTATCCATTACACAGATGTTTGAATTAATCGGGCGATGAATGGGTTATCGGACTTCTATTCTGCCAAATATCAGAATGAGCATCGGCCCAAAAAAATTAAATAAATTAATTTAAAAAAAAACCCTAATAATAAAATAAATTAAAACATCCATCTAAATCATACATAATGTTTAGACTAAGTATGGGCAAGCGCGGATACCAGTGATCGGTATCGGTGCCGATTCCATCCTTATTTTACAGTATCGGTACTCATGGAGGCGACCGATACCAGACACCGACCGATATGTAAGGAAAAACCAAATCTGACATCCCGTCCTCATTGGCGGTAGGTGGCGCTAGCTATACCGTGGTAGTTTGACACAACGGCGACTCAGTCTTTGTTCACCCTTTTTGCCACTGCAAGAAATGAAATTTGATATATCAAAAGCACTAGAAATATCAGTACTCCGTATCAGTGTGCACTCAATGAGTGACGGTTCGAACTGGTATCGGTATGAAAAAAGTAGTATCGAGGATCCCGAATTGATACCATACATACACACGCGCCGTTCGAGAGTGAATTGACTCAACTTGTCCGACTCCCAACGTGTTGTCATTTGTCATTTGACGATAGACTTGAGAATCTGAGACGTACCTCCTCCGAACTAAAGGCCACTCACCGACTAAGACGGTGACCACCTGGTTGTTGGCGTACCGCTCGATCTCCCGCAGCCACTCGGGAAGGCACCGGAAGGATTCCTCGCAGGTGATGTCGTAGGTCAGAATGAGGGCGTTGGCACTGCGGTAGTAACTCTGAGTGATGGAGCGGAACCTCTCCTGGCCCGCAGTGTCCCATATCTGCAGCTTCACCTTCTGCCCCTTAATCTCCACCGTCTTAATCATGAAATCCACCCCGATCGTCGCGCCCTGTCCGGGCGGGAAAAGGCCCTGAATGTAGCGGCGAAAAAGTTCAGGCGGGCGAGTGAATCACTGTCCAAGCACAGTTCAGTTGTATTTCGCTTTTCACATCAATACATTATTTGCATTCATACTTGAGAAATTTGATTGCGCCAACGTGGGACATTGACGTTGGAATGGTTTAAATCGGTCAAGAAATGACAAAGGACATCAGCATTTATTTGGAAGTTTGGTCGTGGAAAATGTGGGAAAACTAAAAAATGTAAGAATTTTCCAAACGTGACTGTGAGACCAAATGGTTTGAATCGGTCGAGAAATGTGTCAAATCTGGCAAAAAAAAGGGAATTTTATCAAATGTGGAAGCGTTGTCTTTTTTGAGAATATGTTGTAGCTGGAATGGTTTGAATTGTTGGAAAAGTGTGGAAGGAAAAGTGCGGCAAAAAAATGGGCATATTAAAAATAAGGTTCACATCCATACACACAGAATGTCTGTTTTTTTTTTTTTTTTTTTTTTTTTGCAGTTTTTTTTTTTGGGTAAGATTTTTTTTTTTTCAATCCGCCGCGCTAGTTGAGGCTGCAGCAGCTCAGGTAGCTGATGGTCTTGCCCTCGCCGGGCGCGGGGGCCGCCTCGTTGTCGTCCAGCTTGTTGTGCTTGGCCTCGCGGATGAGCTGGGAGGCCAGGTCCAGGAAGAGCTTCTCCACGTTGTCCGACTCCTTGGCGGAGGTCTCCAGGTACAGCATGCGCTGCGCCTCAGCAAAGTCCTCGGCACGCTGCCGAGCCACCTCACGCTTCTCCGACAGGTCGATCTTGTTACCTGGCCGACATGAAAATAATCTGTCAATTGATAGTATTTTTTTCCCCACGCACATTATAAGATCAAACTAAGATAATGATATTAAAAAAATAATAATAATCGGCTCATTTTTCTCTCAGTTTGAAATTCAAACACATACTAAAGGAGAAAGTTGTGTAAAATGATCAAATGTTCTCTCATTCATGTTTTTATTGTGTTTATCGTGTTTGGGGATCTAAAAAGATGTTATTGTATCCATTACACAGATGTTTGAATTAATCGGGCGATGAATGGGTTATCGGACTTCTATTCTGCCAAATATCAGAATGAGCATCGGCCCAAAAAAATTAAATAAATTAATTTAAAAAAAAACCCTAATAATAAAATAAATTAAAACATCCATCTAAATCATACATAATGTTTAGACTAAGTATGGGCAAGCGCGGATACCAGTGATCGGTATCGGTGCCGATTCCATCCTTATTTTACAGTATCGGTACTCATGGAGGCGACCGATACCAGACACCGACCGATATGTAAGGAAAAACCAAATCTGACATCCCGTCCTCATTGGCGGTAGGTGGCGTTAGGTATACCGCGGCGGTTTGACACAACGGCGACTCAGTCTTTGTTCACCCTTTTTGCCACTGCAAGAAATGAAATTTGATATATCAAAAGCACTAGAAATATCAGTACTCCGTATCAGTGTGCACTCAATGAGTGACGGTTCGAACTGGTATCGGTATGAAAAAAGTAGTATCGAGGATCCCGAATTGATACCATACATACACACGCGCCGAGTGTTTGGGGATCTAAAAAGATGTTATCGTATCCATTACATAGTTTGAATTAATCGGGCGATGAATGGGTTATCGGACTTCTATTCTGCCAAATATCAGAGTGAGCATCGGCCAAAAAAAAATAAATTAATTAATTTTAAAAAACTCTAATAATAAAATAAATTAAAACCTCCATCTATATCATACATAACGTTTCGACTAAGTATGGGCGAGCGCGGATACCAGTGATCGGTATCGGTGCCGATTCCATCCTTATTTTACAGTATCGGTACTCATGGAGGCGACCGATACCAGACACCGACCGATATGTAAGGAAAAACCAAATCTGACATCCCGTCCTCATTGGCGGTAGGTGGCGCTAGCTATACCGTGGTAGTTTGACACAACGGCGACTCAGTCTTTGTTCACCCTTTTTGCCACTGCGAGAAATGAAATTTGATATATCAAAAGCACTAGAAATATCAGTACTCCGCATCAGTGTGTACTCAACGAGTGACGGTTCGAACTGGTATCGGTCTGAAAAAAATAGTATCGAGGATCCCGAATTGATACCATACATACACACGCGCCGTTCGAGAGTGAATTGACTCAACTTGTCCGACTCCCAACGTGTTGTCATTTGTCATTTGACGATAGACTTGAGAATCTGAGACGTACCTCCTCCGAACTAAAGGCCACTCACCGACTAAGACGGAGACAACCTGGCTGTTGGCGTACTGCTCGATCTCCCGCAGCCACTCGGGAAGGCACCGGAAGGAGTCCTCGCAGGTGATGTCGTAGGTCAGAATGAGGGCGTTGGCACTGCGGTAGTAACTCTGAGTGATGGAGCGGAACCTCTCCTGGCCCGCAGTGTCCCATATCTGCAGCTTCACCTTCTGCCCCTTAATCTCCACCGTCTTAATCATGAAATCCACCCCGATCGTCGCGCCCTGTCCGGGCGGGAAAAGGCCCTGAATGTAGCGGCGAAAAAGTTCAGGCGGGCGAGTGAATCACTGTCCAAGCACAGTTCAGTTGTATTTCGCTTTTCACATCAATACATTATTTGCATTCATACTTGAGAAATTTGATTGCGCCAACGTGGGACATTGACGTTGGAATGGTTTAAATCGGTCAAGAAATGACAAAGGACATCAGCATTTATTTGGAAGTTTGGTCGTGGAAAATGTGGGAAAACTAAAAAATGTAAGAATTTTCCAAACGTGACTGTGAGACCAAATGGTTTGAATCGGTCGAGAAATGTGTCAAATCTGGCAAAAAAAAGGGAATTTTATCAAATGTGGAAGCGTTGTCTTTTTTGAGAATATGTTGTAGCTGGAATGGTTTGAATTGTTGGAAAAGTGTGGAAGGAAAAGTGCGGCAAAAAAATGGGCATATTAAAAATAAGGTTCACATCCATACACACAGAATGTCTGTTTTTTTTTTTTTTTTCCCACACCAACCTGAGTGAAGCGGCGTACGAGGCATGTCTTCCCGACTCCGGCGTTCCCGATCAGAACGATTTTGAACAGGTAGTCATAATCCTCCATACTCATGCTCAACTTAAGAGACAAAGAAAATGGAATTATCAATTGGCTATTTTTGTCAGTTAAAGATAATTTTATTAGTAATAATACTCACAGGCACGTATTGTTTATTCTCGGCAAAGAAAGACTCATTCATTTTGACCCACCCCATGTATTTATGTCCATGTTTGTATTATGCTGACCATGTCTAATATTAAAAAAAAAAAATGCTTTTGGGCCATTTTGTACAATCCTTGCATGATAAAGTGAGGGGATGAAGCAATGCAATTTTGTGTTTGCTGCCGTCTTGCGGCATTTATGTGCAATGACAATCCTTTTGAGGCAGGCATCAATCACCTGCAGATTTTGGCAGCAGGGCTCAATTGCTGTCCCACTGTGGTTCCTTGGCACCAAGTTTCCACAAGGTGGGGCCAAATTCATACTTGGATTGCTTTGGACTGAGCCCAAAATACGACGAATAAACTCCTTCGCGAAACCACAGATCAATACTGGTGTGTTGAGGTACGACCTTGGTTACTTAACAACTTAAACTCGTAAGACAAGGTACTAGTGTATTATATCGACAAAGAAACAAGTGTTGTACAGTGTATTATGCAGCAGGTGAAACTAACATTACACAAAACATGTTGAGGAAAGATGCGAATAAAACTGAACACGAACAGCATTTTTTCCCCGCTTCATTGTTAACCAGCCCTACGAGTCACTATTTCTCCGTTCGCTCATCCAAACGTATACATTTGTGAAGTTTGGACAATTATCATCTTTAATGAGGTTTGGGCGAGGACAGCTAACGAGCAGCTAGCCTACGGGTGAAGCCATTTTGGCTCCATCCAGGCCATTTTGGCTCTTTTCCTTTGTGGAGAGACTGCCCGATGGAGGAGGAAAACAACACACGACTGACATTTACCTCAAAAGAACGAACAGGGGATGTCCCCGCTTTTGACGGCTACTGGCGATGCATAGGTCACCTCATCAAGCGGCCACACACGGCACAGTACAGCACGGCTGGCTGCGGAGTAAGTAGTCCCAATTCCTGTGTGTGTCCGCGTCCTCCTTCTGATGGACGAGAAGGAGGGAGGAGGAGGAGGAGGACGACTGCACTTCAATGACGTCTTCGCCTAACGGAACGCTGCACTGCAAACTCATCAATTTAATAAAAGTGAAAAAAAAAGATAACCTTTTTTTTTAAAATCGTGTGCTTCATAAAGAAAACCTAGGCATATTGCCATATCACATATTTAAAAATACAAGAATTCTCATTAGAAAAAAAATTCCCACTTTTGCCACAATATTAAAAATGAGAATAAAACTTTTGACTCTTCAAACCCTGAAAAAGAATCACAAGGAATAAAAAATCAATGGTTTGATTAAAAAGATAAATTATTAACGTAAATATGTATTTATAGCTATTTTTTAAATCCCCCTCCTAAAAAAATTAAACATGTCAATTATCTTGTGCTTCTTAAATATACAAATGATACGTTGCTCATATCAACACATAATGATCATTACATTGACATGAACATGACATGACTAATCTTACCTTGTGTTTTTTCAATAATAAATAAAAAATACTGAAAGATCTTAATAAGAAGAAACAATGAAAATAATTATTAAAAGGTAAGCTCTTGAAACTCATTTGACTCTTCTAAATAAATAGAAAAACAATTCAATAATATTCCATGCAGTAAAAAAATCTTCTGCATCTTTCAATAATCTACGGAATTTTTACGATGAGTACAAAAGTAAATTATTTTCAATTAAAACATATACCATTTTAAAACATTCTCATTCACAATAATTAATTCATCAGCTTTGTTTGCGGCCGGACTTTCCTCCAGCTGCACGTGACGTCACTACTTGACTTCCTTCAGAAGGCGGAAGTTTATTGGACGCCGTTTGCTCACAGCTGAGGTCAAGACGACACCGGAGGACGTCTTTTGAATTTTGCGGGCCATGGGCTGGATTCCGGACGAGGGCAAGGGGCTCCCTCCGCCGGGTGTTGTCAACCGCAACTCGTTTTGGCTGGGCGGCATGGGCTGGTGCGCCGCCATGCTCCCCAACGCCATTGTATAAAAGAAAATTGATCTAAATATGACTTGCTCTTAAGTTGTGTCATTCATTTTATTCGCGTAAATGTTTGAAGCGGGTGATGTTTAGCTTTTCTCCCCCATCTGTGGTTTTCATGTAAAATATTCATGTAAATTGAAGTAAAATAAAGTATGAATGGAAATGTCTTGTCAGGTGTTCACCGACAGGTCCTTCTGACGACGATCGGCTGGTTCCTCGGCTACCACCTGACTAAATATGAAAATTACGTGCACGCCAAACTGGACCGAGAGATGAACGAGTACATGAAACTTCACCCGGACGACTTTGCACCAAAGGGTGAGTTGACTTGATTTGCTGCGAACAAAGCTTCTATTGGCTCTCATTCGACGGCAGTAAGTTTGGTCGCCATTTAATGGATGGTATCATATGTGTGAACTTCTTAACATTTCTGAATTAGAATTGAAATATAATTTTCTACAATGACAATTGTTAGTTCATCTCAGTTGTATTGTTTTTTTTTAATCCATGTTGTGTTTGTGTTTCCCACCAGAAAAGAAGACCTTTGCTGAGATCGTGGAGCCTTTCATTCCTGTGCGCTGAGCTGTCATGTCACATCTTTCCTGTCCAATATTCTTCTGTACATAATTCAGTAAAATTAATGACAACGTAATCTGGTCGTCTCTTTTTCAGTGTTTACTATTCAAAGAAAAAAGAAATTTGCCTATTTCATTTTTTTTTGTATACTGATGTTTCTTATATTTCGTGTTTACAGCCATTCTAATTTTCCTTTTTCATGATTGCTTCAAAGACCAACATGTGAAAAGGTGGCGAGAACGAAGATGGTTCTCGGGACTGTCCTGGAACAAATTAAGTTAGTGTGCAACTCTATTTCAAGGTCAGAGCACCTGTTTAAAAAAAACGTGCACGCGCCTGATGAGGTTCGACTGTGGCTGAGAATGACTGCTCTCACTCACCTGTTTCTGATTGGGGCTCATTTGGGCAGATTTGAAAATTTCCAGGGGGCGCTATTGAGTGATGTTCAGGATCTCGACAATACTCTTATTGGCAAAATGATTGTTGAGGCAAGAGATCCCAAGTAGGAGTTTGTTCCAGCCTATTTGGGGTTCAAGACAATATGGCTGACTTCCTGTTGGATTGTGCTTCATGGGGTCCTTGAGACTCTCCCGCGCGTCCTCTTATGTCAAACAAAATTCTTTTTCCCATCTGGCGGAAGAGCATGAAAGAAACACTCGGCAAACATGCAGTGTGAAGAGCGGTCTTATTAAGGCAACACTGAAAAGCAAGCAGAAGACCTTTGAAACAAACAGCACAGACGGTCACGTGATAACACACAGTCCGCGGCCACAATGTTGGGTTGGGAACACTTGCACCATCTAGTACAATGCAGGACTGTAACAGTTAGTCACCTACATCCTCACTCTAAATCAACATAAACTGCACCAATTTTGATTAACTGACGTCAACGCTCTCGGCCATTTGGAGTCAGATGTCGTTCAGAATCGTGTTCTTGCCCTGATCAACAACAATCATTCGTCTTGAATATCCAATGGCAGATAAACTTGATATCAACTCAATTATTAAAGCAGGTGTGTTTATAACTTCTCTGAAAACTTTTAAACAAGTAGAAAATTGTACTTTTAGGTGTATTTTTTCCCCACACTTTTTTTTTTAATTCAGACACTTTTCAAAATCAATACGTTTCAGAGAAATGGTGCCTGCATCCTGATTTGATTTTTAAAAATGACTTCAACGACTATATCTCAGCCTGTCAGCATTCAAAATTACTAAGAATCCCACCTGGATGGCGAACAGCCACCCATGCGAGTTTGAAGACGATCCGTCGTCAATTGTGATCGGTGGAAATAAAAGAACCCATTTTGACCTTTCACTTAAGCTACCGGGGCCTTGCTTCAAATGAGTCGGGTTCCTTCCTTCTGAGGCCTCTTGATTGACTGCATTGTAGCAAAGCAGACCGGCAGCGTCCCCGGGTCCGTGTCGCCATTTTCTCAGCTTCTCAAAGGAACCTCCAGAATTTACCAATAGAAAAACAAAAAGGCGTTGTCCCATGAGAAGCCGGGCCTCCTTCCACCGGGGGGCAGTGTACACTTTCAATTGGGCGGCGTTCCGCCCGGCTCCTTATTTGGACTCCTTGCGTTGTCCCATGATGATGATCTCCAGTACGTGGGTGAGGTCCATCATCTTGGTGAGCATCTCCATGATGTCTGCGTGCTCCCGAGCACCACTGATGAACTCCTCCAGGGTCAGCTCACCTGCGCAGACAACACAAGATCAATATTTGATGTTCACTAGCAGCGTACACGTTTACATCTCGGCATAAGTATGAAGCTTTGATGCGCATGAAAACAATTGTCTCTCAGCATTCACCCGGATATTGTTGATTTTCCAAAAACGTCATTGGTACAAATACTTTTCTCTCTGTCTTCACAAGATTCGTTGATGCTCCAGAGCAGCGTAAATGCTATCGTGACAATTTCCAACATTGTGACTGACTGTCTTTCAGCCTTGGAGGTGTGTGTGATCTCACCTTCCCCGTTGACGTCGATCCTCTCATAGATGAGCGTGACGATCTCTTCAGGGGGAATTTCATAGCTCCTGGTAATGTCTTGAATGGCCTGTTGGGAGTTGTGGATGCTCAGAAGCAAGCTTTGACATAGCGCAGGACATCATCCGCATCGGCACAGTGTTACAGCTGTGCGCTAACACTTTTGGGACATTTTGACAGTTTTACGGGCGTGCAGCGAGTGTTACCATGAATCAAACTCCAAATGCTACTTCGACAGCAAATCTACATCGACACGGCGTTGAGTCATGCTGCAAGTGCAAAATTATAAGGGAGATGGAACTCTAAATTGTAGCACTTTGAAAGCTTCCACTGTAAACGCACATCGACATGGTCTTATGGCCTTGCAACGGGAACGCAAAAATCTACATCGGCACGGCGTTAAGAGTCATGCTGCAAGTGCAAAACTAAAAGGGAGATGGAACTCTAAATTGTAGCACTTCGAAAGCTTCCACTGTAAATGCACATCGACATGGTCTTATGGCCTTGCAACGGGAACTGACCTCCAAATTGTCTGCAGGTATAATTGCAGCAAGGGCCACCCCTAATTCGACTCCAAACGGCACCGCTTTTGTCATCACCTCTTTAATACACATTGGAATGGTCTTGCGGCCATCCAGCAAGAGCAAACCTAAATTCCAATTCCAAGTTGTGGCACTTTTAACGTCTCCCCTTGTAACGCACAGCATTAGCGTGAGATGCTAATTCAGTGCTGTTAAAAATAACAAGTCCTGGATTAGACGGTGTGACAAGTTCCCATTCACTTAAGCCCGCTTCCACTAAGCCTCAATGCTTCTTGGAATATCGAAACAGCGGAGGAAAAAAAAAAAATCAATAAATGAAGACGGCATACCTTGAAGATGGTCTCCATTTCATCTTTGTCGATTTTGCCGTTTCCGTCCTGGTCGAAAAGCTTAAAGTACCACTTGAGCTTCTGGTTGACTTCTCCCTTAAGGAGAAGACTGATGGCAGCGATGTACTCCACAAAGTCGATGTAGCCGTCCTGCAAAAGGCCTGACAATTTAGTTCGGGTTAGCCCCCCAACCTCCCCCCGAAACACGCAAAAAAAAAACATCTCCATGGTCTTCAACTCACCCCGTCCATGTCAAAGGTAAAGAAGACCTGGTCCACGTAGCTGCTGGCCTCCTCCGTCATGCCGTTCATCTCCAGCATGGTCTTCAGCTCGAAGAGCGTGATGAGGCCCGACGGCGACTCCCTCATGAACTTGGTGTACCAGTGGTGCATGTCCTCCTCCAAGATGTCGTCCAGGTTGGAGCCGTGGGCGCCCATGCCGGCAGGCAGGCAGGCTCCGAGGATTGCGGCGATACAGACGAGCTCCGGCGAGAAACGAATGAGCCGAGGGGGACGTTCGCTGACGATCTGAAACGCTCCTGTCTGAGCGAGGGTGAACTTAATCTACTTGATCTTGGCAGGAGCCAAAAGCAGACATAACCCTTTAATGGGATAACGGGAACAAGACTTCTTAGAAGTTCAGGGCCACGCCACGATGAGGGGTGGGTGCGGGGTGGCGGTGGGTGCACTGTTTTTGGAAGCCAGGCAGCCCTAAGACACTGACCTCTTCCCCAAAATGACATTCCTCGAATGTGCCTCCTTCTTTTTGTACTTAAGCCACTTGCGTGTTTGGCATTCAACTTCATTTCTATTCTAAGTCAAACTCAAATCACTACTAGAGGTGCTCGTTTGCTTCCTGGCTGCTGTTGAAGTGCCTTTGAGCAACACCATGCGCCCATAGGCACGTCAAAAAAAACATTCCGTTTTCGTAATAGTGCAAAGGTATGTGCGCTCTATTTTTTCACATTTTTAGAAAATAGTTCGCCTCAATTTAATGTCTCACTCAACTTCCTACCAGCCTGTTATGATTATGATCAGAATAAGACGAATATTTGGTGATTTGATTTTTTTTTCTTAACTTATTTTACATCTGTAAATTTGTCATCTTGGTCAGCAGCAACAGGGAGCTAAAAAGCCAGCTTTTAACCCCTGCTGCACTCATCTGGGGTTGCTTTTAAAAAGCGGGCGAGCAAAGACCGGCGCGCTTATTTTCAGCAACTCTCTCGTAGATTTAAATGAGGACCACAGCGAAACTTTGTGGTGAGTCACAGCACATAAGTGGCATTCGAGAAATCCCACCGCTGGAAATATTTCGGGTGAATTGCGCTTTCCGCCATCTAGTGGATGAGCATTTCATTTTTCTGCGTGAAAAATTGCTGACATGGACAAAGAAAGTCCAGATGTTGCGTAGTTTCTTTCCTTTAGGAGATGACTGCTCACTCGCCGTAATATAAACCAAACCAAGGAAATCATTTGTACTACAGTCAAAGTTGTCATCGTCGTAACCCCTCCCACCCAAAAAAATAAATAATAATAATAATAAAAAGCCAAACAAAGTCAGCATTTACGGGCATTTAATGGAAGTGTCAAGGACAACCTCAATTGATCTGGAGAGCGATGAGGTAATTTGATTAAAACACACAACAATAGTGTCAGGATGTTTGTTCACAACAATTTGGCACCAACAGGTTTAATCCGGTTAGCGGCGCTGATAAACTTGTTTACGGGAAAAGAAAGGTGGTTTTGGCATGACGAGAGTCTCACATTGTCCACTGACGCCAGGATAGCAAAGGACAAAGCTGACTAAAAATCATTTTTTTTTAATAGTAAAAAATAACTGACAAAATGTGGACTTTTCAGGTTATTCACTGGACAGGAACCGAAGCTTACATTTTATGAAGAAAAAAAAAAAATCACACAAAAATGGGACTTAAGTGTTATTCATTGGACAGGAGTTTTTTCAATGTTTGAAAACTCCACAAAATGTGGACTTCTGTTACTCCTGTCCAACGAGTAGCATGTATATTCTGCATTTTATGAGTTTTATATTTGTAGTATTCTTTAAAAAAGAAGTCACAACTTGGGACACTGTCGGACACTGTCATTGGACAGGAAACATATTGCACATAAATATTAATCTAACATTGTTTTTTTAAGACAACATCTCAAAGCTGACTGACATGTTATTCTTCGTATAGGAATAACATGTAAGTCCATTTTGGTAAACAGTAATTAAAAACAAAAGTTATTAAAAGTGTAATAACAAGCGATTGAAATTACAAGACAAAGAGGCGTCAGGAAGCCGTGCAAAAGAAACACGTGCGCCCTCTGTTGTTCACCCGTAGAAAAACACGGGAAGACTGACAAAACGTAATCAATCATCTTCCTTTTTATAACCAAAAAAGGGATCGTTTTCGTTTTCTTCGAGGCCATCCTCGAACAAACACTCACCAGTTAATACCAGAGTAAAACTTTATGTAAAACGTACAGACAACATGCCTTGACGGAGCCAATAATACTCTTTAGTTTGACATGACATGGATCCCAGCTGCTTGTCAAACGTGCCTGACGTCCACTCCGAGGCCATTTCATTAGGTACACGTAAACAAACTCATCTGCTCTCAAGAGCCTCCCGTAGTGACGTGAGGTGTCGCCCCAAAAATGACAAAGCCCCCGTGGCTTCGGACGGAGAATTTGACAGTTGCTGTTCAAAATGTTTCATGAGCAGCACAGTGTGGCTACCGCGGTTGGCACCTCAGCCTCACAGTCAAAAATGGGTTCAAATCCCAAAACAACAAAATGCCATCAGGTTGTCTGACGCTCAGCAATTGAAGTAAAGTAAATACAAGATATTGATTTCATACATTTATAACTACAAATATACATTTTAAAGTCATTTTGATGCTCTTTGGGGCGGGGGGGTTTTAAATTTGGCATTTTTGTTTTTGCATTTCATAATGAAATAAGGGGCGGCACGGTGGATGACTGGTTAGCACGTACGCCTCACAGGGAAGAGGTGCAAGGGTTCGATTCCGGCTCAGGCCTTCCTGTGTGAAGCTTGCATGTTCTCCCCGTGCCTATGTGGGTTTTCTCCTTTCTTCCCACATTCCAAAAACATGCATGGCAGGTTGGTTGGGGATGAGAAAACGGAAATAAGTATCTGTATGAATAAGCATCCATCTATTTACTAACATTTAAAGATCAATTTATTTTGATTTCTTTTGCATTTTAAATTGGCCGCGAGATAGGAAGTGGTGAGGAGGCCAGCCTCGCAGTCAGGAGATCTGGGTTCGAATCCCACAAACTTGTACATCAGGTGAGTTGAAGACTCTAAATCACCCATGTGAGCGCCATGCACGTTTGCCCCATGATCGAGCGGCAACCACTCGCGGGAGTACCTCACCCCCGACCGCTGCTACGGACCACGTGACTTTGGGCAGGCGTAGCTACTTGACATCGCTAACATGAATCATGACATTCCCGCATTAATACTTGATCTTGTCAGATGATTTGTGTGACTGTGCGGTTTCCCCGCTCGGAGAGCCACGACGCAAAACGACCCACCTGCGGACGCCACCTCATGACAACTTGAGGGAAACGGGGTCGATGTACAAAGCGGAGGAGGGGGAGGCGCCGCGGCCCTCCTGGTCGTAGAGGAACTGCCGGAGCACGTTGTACACCATCTCCCGGCTCAGCGTGAAGCTCCTCAGCTGCTCCTGGTGCTCCTCGGGCATGACGAACGTCAGCTGGTACTCGGCGATCACCGAGCCAGGCCTGGGGAAGGAGGAGACCCGAAGCTCGAGCAAGTCAATAAGGAAGCGAAAACCCACCACAGAGGGACGACTCGTATTGCGTCAAAATCACAAGCACGGTCACTGTTCAGTGAATGTGCCGGCGTGCGTGTGTGGTGGTTAGATGCCATGCTTACCGGAGAGCGTAAATTTCCGCTTTGGAGAAGTAGCGTCCAAGCGCGGGCGAGGATCTGTACACGTCTGACAGCTTTGGAGGAAAAGGAGGGGGGGAGGTCATCAGGTTGGGACACGCCAACACACACACACACGAGACTCAAACGGCTCACCGGCGCATTCCGAGCATATTAGCACATTAGCGTGTTAGCGCTAAAGCTGAAGACGCAAGTCTCAAGGACTCGGGTTGAGGAAAATGGCAAATTACTTTTGAAGGAATCTCACACAACAAAGTTTGGATGTTGGAGCAGTAATTCAGCTAAAATAATACGATGGAGTTTTCAAGTCTTTAAGTGTCGATGTTGACAAGTCAGAAAGTTGGGAAAAAAAAGTTTGTTTCTTATTGAGTTTCTGTACTACTAACTCCTACTTTTGCGAACACGTTAACAAAAATCCTTCTGAACATTCAAGATTTTTATTAAATAACATTAATTTGGGATATTCGGATGGCACCCAGTAGCGAAACTCCAAGATTCAAATTTTGAGTGGCAGTGAGGCGCATATTCTGCAGTGATGACATCAGCGCAATCCGATTGGTCACCCATGCTGGAAATCAGAAAAAAAAAAATCCCACGACGGCCTCAAGCATTCCAGGTAAAGAAAAAAAAAAAGAAAAAGAAAACCCTTCAGTTTTGGAGGTGGCCTCACCTTGCCTTGCAGGTCTCCGGTGAGGGCTCGACTCTGATTGGACGAAAGGCTGAGCAGGTCCTCGGTGAAGGTGAGGCCCGGTAGACTGAAGCTGCCGTTGAAGAGGCGAGCAACACGGAACGATGACCGGTTGAACTTCTCATCGGTGTCCTCGTGAATTGCTGCGCGAGGTCGGGGGGGGGGAAGACGCGCCACACGGCCCACATGCGGTTATTGGTCAGGGTTCACTGTTTTATGGTTAGCATCACATTTTTGCTGCTTCCACCACTGGCAACCTTCTACAGTGGCAGCACGCTTTTTTTTTCCCTTTTCCATGTCTGGCGAGGATGTGAGAGATGAAGTTCGAGTTTGCCTTTTGGAGCGTTACCTGAGCACACACCCAGCGAGATGAGCACCACGGCGACGATGACGACGGGCAGCAAGACGAGCAGCATCCACAAGCGCACTTTGCCGCACACCGCCTCGCTCAGCTCCCGCTTCACCTTGTGCGCCGCGCTCTCCTGACAAAAGCACCCGCACACTTTCATCAATCACACAGCACGTTTGAAACACATCGACCCGCGTTTACACCAATTTGAAAACAACAACAACATCAAAATCATTGAAACTATTACGATTCCTGTTTTTAATTCTGACTGGTCATGCTGCTGTTCACCACTAGAATCTATTACCAGGAAACACACTTGGGCAGGCCATAGTGACCCGTCTCAACATTATAAATATCTGCTATTGATGAGAACGAATGGACACGGACAGACAGACAGACAGACAGACAGACATTTATATGGATGTGAATCGAAATCAGACCTTAGAACCTGCGAAAGCCTCAGCTGTCACACATCCTGAAGGCATTGTCTCGCCGCTGTGACCGTTCCTCTGAAACAAAACACACACACGTATATAAACACACACACGCGCGCGCACACACACAAAAACGTCCTTTAAAAGCACCGCCCCTTTCTTCGAAATGACCAAATCATTTTTGGTCAGCGTGGTGAATCATGTGTCTCACAAACGCAAGAAAAAAAAAATTCACAACTGCTGCACAGTTCATAGCAAATTTCTCAGCAAGGGGGGGGGGGGTGCTTGCTGCATCGGACTACTTCCTGTACTGGCCCACTTCCTGTATATGTGACAACTTCTTGTGTCCAGCCCACCTGAGCGCTGAGCAGCACGCTTCCCTCGTCGCGGCATCTGTAGGCGTGATTGGCACCATTGCCCGTTGTCAGCTGCCATCACACACACACACACACACACACACACACACACACACACACACACACACACACACACACACACGTTGCAAAATTATGAGAAATATTTTTCAAGGTTATAGTTGTAAATGAAGTCACATTGTAAAGGCAATAAAGATACATATTTTTTAATAAAACTGTTTATTTTTAGAGATCAGTGATACTTTCACTTATTCCCGTAAAAGTATCACTTTAAACTGAATAGGAAACGACTTTTTAATTCAGAAAAAAATACTTTTTTCTTACAAGACATGCGGGACAGGATAAGAGAGCAAATCTCTTTTTCGTTAATGGATGATACAGCTTCTTGTTGCTTTCAAGCTTAGCTTGTAGCAGATGTGTGCACATTTCAGCATGACGTCTTTGATCCACTGTTGAAAAGGACACTTTGATTCCCTCCTCTTTCATCTATAACTGCTTCAGACAACAAAGTGTATGCAGGAAAGTGGTTACGATTGCTCGATTGTCTCTGTCTAATGTGTTGTCTTGTATTATTTTGTCATTTTAGGTTAACTTTTCTTTTGATGGCGTCGCGGGCACCCGCAGCGGCTCCTCTTGTTGTATGTTGTCTTGAGAGGGAAGAAATTACAGCACATTTGACATTAAAGTTATATTTGACTTGACTTAACAAGAGTACAACTTTAGTCTTCATATAGATTTCTTATATAAAATAAATCCTATACTTGAGGGAAAAAAAGGTTTTCCAATATTTGTTCTATATGTTCTATATTCTTGATTTATTTTTTACTGCAATGTTTTATCATACAGGACATGTAGCAAATGCCAATAAATGAGACTTTTAATAAGAAAGCGCAATTAGCAGCAGCATCTCTCTGGAAACACGATGACGCCATGCGCGTTCTATGAGATTGGAAGTGGGCTCAAGTGTTTACTTGGCGCATTTTGGAGGGGGAAATAATGGAGCAATTACTCACCGACCGTCCAACGGCGTCGCTGCCGTTCGTTTTGAAGGCTTGCATCTCAAAGTCAGTGGTCATCCTGCGCAGAGAGCGAAAGAGGAAAAATAAAACCAACGCAAAAAAAAAAAAACGAGTTCGAACCCGGAAATGTCCCGACTACGACAAACCTGAAATTTCACGGGTAGGCGTAAACTTCGAAGCCGAAAGATAAAACGAATGTACAAAACCTCTTGGTCTAGGTTCCGATTGAAAAGACGCCAAATTTCGAACCCAGGCGACAACACGAAGCAGTACCACCGACCACCAACCTCAGCCGAATGACAAACAGGTGAGAGCGGAGGGACCAGGTTTCGTTCAACGTGACGTCACCTATGTCAACACTTAAGCGCTCTGATTGGTCACCTTTCCGGAAGTGAAACATGTTGCTTTTCAAAGCCTGAAATGACGGTAATTTGATTTAATTTTGATTTTTTTTAGCCTTTTTAACGTCAGGCTTTTTTTTTTTTTGTATTTTGCTAAGCAAATTGTTCATAAAGGAGAAAAAAGTTAAACCTTTATTGCAGCAAATGATTCAGTGTGGTCTACTGCCAGAATGTAGCATATACTTAAAAGACAGATTATATGTAACACAAACAAGAAACTGTTTATTATTGTGCATGACCCGTACCGGAGTCCAGACTGATATGCATTAAAATAAAAGACAAGCAGTAAACAACAGACAGAAAAATAACAAGGAAACACTGCTGATTGTTTTTGTGATGCAGTCACTTTTTTTTATGTCTGCTAAAATATGTATTCAATATAATTCCAAAATATTTGTCTCAGCAAAAAAGAAAAAAATACATCTCTACAAATGAATTTTCTTCATGAAGGAACATTAAGGCCAGACTGAAAAGACAACGAAATGACACTACAAAATCAAAGGGTCAATTTTACAAAAACACGTATCATTTCCAGATTGAATTTGTAATATTACAAGAATAAAGTTTAAATATTTTTTTAAGAAAAGTCTCCATATTTGAAATTGAAGTTCTAATATGTATTACAGAATCTCATATTTTCAATAAATAGTCACGTATTTTCAAGAAAAAAAAGGTAAACTTTCAAGATTAAAGTCAATAAAGTTGGAAATGCGACTATAGCCTTGAGATAGTTTTCGAGATTATAATCATATACTCTATTTTGGGGATTACACTGATAAGATTATGAGAATAACACCATATTACAACAAAATATTTTCAAGAAAAAGTTCTATTTTTTTTTATATTTGATTTGTAATACTGTCAAAATAAAGTTCTCATATTAAAATAAACGTGTTCAAGAAAAAAAGTGGTGTACTTTTACAAAAAAGAAAGTCATAATAATACAAAAATGAAGTTGTGTGACAAAGAGAATAAATTTGCACATATTCAAGAGAAAAAGTTAATGTAAAAAAAAGTTCATCCATCCAAAAAGTTGCATATTTCTGATATTAAAGTAGTAAAAAATTGTTGTCTACTTTTAGATAAAAAACTTGCAATTTTTCAAGTTTAGAGTTGTAATATTAAGAGACTAAAATTATATATTTTTGAGAAATTACACTTCAAACCTGGAAATATACAATTTGTTTTTTGACAAAATCTCAAAAAATAGTTTGTTTTTTTTCTCGTAAAAATGACCGATTAAACATTCATCTGTCCGTGCCATTTTTTTCTGATACTTTCAGGGTGGCCTTAACGCTCCGTTGTGTTCTTGCCTGGCTAAGAATTGACAGCGACGAGTCTTGTCCATGCGTACACGCGAGGAAATGTTCTAAAAATGGCCAGCTGAGGGCGACATAACCCGCGAGTTGTCCCTATGAGTCAAAGCAGTTAAATATTCCAAAATCTGTGCGTTTTTCAGAGGTCATTATCATTGTTCACAAATCAATGGAGATCATCGGGATCCCCTCCATCCGTCTGTCGCGGCTGCATTTCCTCCTCCAGCGTCTCCTCTTCTTCTTCTTGGGGGTTGTTTGCTCGCTTCCTCTGCTCCTCCTCATCATCCTTGTCCTCCTGCTGCTCCTCATCGTCATCTCCCTTGCCTTCCTTCCGAGGGACCCGGTCCGGGCATTGTAAAATGGCGTCTCCGTTGGTTTGGGGCGAGTGCAGTTCACATGGCGACGGGATGCCGCCGAAGAGCCCTGGCGCCTCCTCCCCCGCCGACCTCCTGTGTTGTCTCGTGGGCGGACGCCTCTTGAACGACAGCCGAGCACGAGTCTGGCAGAAGTGAAGAAAAGCTAACTTTACTCAACTGCGGATGAAGGATTGGGTGGTGGCCCACTTCTCTGTCAGGCCCTCTATTTCATTTTATCATATTAATTTTTGACCAGACGTAAATCTGAATTACAATCGATGAAGGGGTGTCAGCTGGGGAACATTTCAGCCCTCCTGCAGAGGGCAGGCTTCGCAAGCCATCAGGGCGCCACCACATCCCATCTGCAGGTGCGCCATAATAGAGGAAGTGGAGGAATTGGGGGG